GACCGGCTCCTCCACCCACCCCAGACTTGGCGGCTGGCGCAGATGCGGTCCGGACACCCACAGATGCCCGGCCAGAGCCGCCCTCCCCCCTCCCCTCCCTTCCCGCACCCGCAGCCGTCTGACGGCCCGGCCACCGCGGGGAGTCCCTGCCCGAGGACGCCGATGCCCCGCAGACCTGCTCAGCTGCTCAGGGCTGGTGGTCAGGACTGGGGGGAGATGGAGACCCCGGGCATGGGGGTCCCCCACCCCGGTCTGCCTAGAGTGGGCAAACCCCATCCACCACCAGGGCCTTGCTCCGCTCTCCACTCCTGCTGGATACCTGGAGCCCAGAGCCAGGGATGCCGACAGCCACCCAGGGGACCCCGGGTGCCAGTCAACGGCAAGAGGAGCCACCTGGCCAATGGCTCCCCCCACCAGAGCCATACCTGGCAACCCTCACCCTGAGGACACTCGGGGCCCACACAGCTGCCTCCTGGGTCTTCACTTGGCCTGGAGGATTTGGCTCTCTGGGGAGCACACCTGTGGGCACAGCTGTAACCTGCCCGCCTCAGGTGTGAGTCATTCTCTCCGCGTTGCCTCCGTGAGGATTGCCCTCCTCACCCTCCATCACCCAGGGGCGCCCACAGACACCCTCCCCGCAGTCCGGTCCAGCCACCTTGGAGGCCACCTCCCACGGCCTCCGCCTGGGTGTAAACCACTCTCCCCGCTGGCCTCCCTCCTCCACCTCCCAGACGCACCTGCTCGGCCTCCCTAGCCTGTTAGAAGCCCTCTGTGGTTCTCAGTGCTAAGGGTGGCACCTGGGCCTTAGCCCTGTGTGAAGTACTTACTCCACCACTGAGGGCTACTCCTCCCCTCCCCCCCTTCCCTGAAACTCCTTGGGGTCACATGGGCCTTAAGTGCCACATTTGCCTTTTACTGTGACCTTAGGCAGTTTGCTCCCTGAGTCTCAGTCACCCCAGGAAATAACGAATGGCTCATCCTTCCATTGTGTAGATTGCTTTCACATAGGCAAAGTCCAAGGATTGCCAAGAGGTAGGAGGAGGAGCCGGGGAGGGAAGGCCGAGGAAGGGGAAACTTGTCTATTTGACTCATCTACTGAATAATTCAAACAACATTCCTTCATCCCGTGTGTAGTGCGTGCTGTGTCAGGCAGTCCTGAGGGGCTTTAAACTCTGTGAGCATCTACACATCACAAACCCCATCAGGAAGACAAGTCAGCGGGCCAAAGGGCATGGCTCTGTCACACAGAAAGTTCCAGTGCTACTCAAAGAGTCTCTGTGGTGTGGTCCAAGCCAGTCCCCTCATGTGATGAGTGAGCCATCCCCAGCAGCCTCTGAACCCCGCTTTCCCCCTGCCTACCCCCCAGGTCGAGGCACTGAAGTGGTCAGCTTGCAGCCTCGCCAGTGGCAGGCGGCCAGGTAGAGGGTTTACGAGCTACAAGTAACACTTCAGGGCTCCATCAAAGAGAGAGTGTGGGTTTGGGTTTCTTTCCCAAAGAAACTAGTCTCAAGTCTGATATGTTTCATGCTGGCATCAGGGAATGCAAACAGAGCACAGCTAGGGAATCAAGGGCAGGACCCTGGCGGGGTCCTGTGGGGTAGGCCTTTCCAGCTGAGGATGGGCTGGACCTACCGAATGAGCACTGAGGACGTGGTGAGCCTGGGTGGAGGGAATGGATGAAGGACGTGTAGGTCTTGTTCTGCAAGCTGTTGTTTAACCACTGCTGGACGGAGGCCCCACCCAGGCTTAAGGAAGCAGCTAGGGTCAGGCCACTGGCCCAGGGGCTCAGGCCCTTCCCTGACTTGATGGAACTGGTGTGTGTGTGTGTGTGTGTCTGTGTGTGTGTGTATGTCTGTGTGTGTGTGTGTGTATTGGGTGGGGGGGGTTCCCTCAAGTGACAAGCCAAGACAGCACTGCCAAGAAGAACATAGACACAGCCCAACCCTGAGCCACTCCAGGCAATTCTGGACCTCCTGTGTGACCCTCCTCCTCCAGGGGCCTCTAAACGGGACAGCCTGAGCACTTGGTAGATTTTGTGCAGTGAGGTAGACTGACTTGAGCCTTGACTAGAGATGTAACACAAAGTTCTCAGAGCCTGTTGTATGAAAAGGTTGTGAGGCTCACATGAGACAGCGTATGCGTTAATACCCGGCTCTGCACTCAGCTTGAAGCAGCAGCCCAAGAGTGGAGCTTTCCCTTTTTTGGAGGGGTTGGGCTATGCTATTGCTCATCTCCTCTGAAGCCACCAAACCCCAGGACTCCAAAACTGAGCTAAAAGCCAGTAACCAGTGTCTTATGCTTGTAAATCTAGCCACCAGGAGGCTGAGATCAGGAGGCTGAGTTCTAAGCCAGTCTGGGCAGAATCACCCATGAGACTCTTTTCTGCAGTTAACCACCAAAAAGCCTGAAGTGGTGCTGTGGTTCAAAGAGTAAGCACATCAGCCTTGAGTGGAAAAGGGACAGCACCCAGGTCCTGAGTTCAAGCCCTATACTGGCAGGTATATTCACATGTGTGTGCGTGCATGCGTACACACACACACACACACACCCCAAAACAAAACTTGAACTAGAATAGTTGTTTTGGCCAGCTGTGTCCCACCACTCCCAACTGCCTGACAACAACCGATTGCTCAAAAACTTGAGCCCAAAGAAGCAAATAAACACACAAAAGCTTCGGTGTGGCAATGGAACACACAGAAGGAAAACATTAGTTGAAGAGTTATAAATGCCATCCAGTCCAGCAAGCCCATAGTGACAGCCCCAGAATCAAAACTGCCTATAAACGAGGCCACATTCCATCTCCAGCTCTAGTTTGGGGGCTGTCCCAGGCTGCCTGATACCCCTGAGCTGAGATCTTAGTTAACAATGGAGCTTTTCCAGTCTCCCGCATATACCTGTTCAACCTGCCTCCTAGCACACAGCTGAATGAATTCTCCTACAATCCTAAGGGTCTCTCCCAAAGGAAAAGAACTTGGATGCAAGGTCCTTGGTATTCAGATTTATTTTACATTCCCTTCCAGAAGGAACCGGGGCACTGGGGAGGGCTGGGGAACTGGCGGGGGAGGGGCTGGGGGGGACAAGCAGGTTTGCCTGTAAATAGTGGGGCTAAGCCAGCAGAGCTCGCACAGCAGCAGAGCCCAGGGCTCCTCAGCCTCTGAGAGGGGAAGCCTTGAGGCAAAACCTCTTGCTAGGCCTGGAAGGCTGAGGAGGTACAGCCTCTGTCCCCCAACTTGCTCCTAGGCCCAGATGGAGTCCAGAAGGCAAAGGGGAAACAGGCAAGCTGGCAAAATGGGGGGAGCTCTGCAGACCCCCAGAAGGCCTTTGGTCTCTGCCAGGGTAAGGAACTGGTCCTTGTTAGTGGAACCCCATGGGGGTGAAGCTGGGAGCCGGTCCCTGTTAGGGGAAATGCTGGGGGGGGGCGCAGGAGGGGACTCAGACTCAGGGGTCTGGTCTCAATAAGGCCTGGAGTCAGTTTCCACTTCAAAGCAGACGTCTGTATTTGGGGGGGGATAAAGAGGCTGTCAGAGGAATGCCTGTGAGTTGTGGTGGGAATCAGTCTGGGAGGCTTCGAGGGGGCTCCAAGAAAAGGCTGCTGGGGGCTCTGCAGATGCTGGGAATGTAGGTCCTGGGAAGGAGGATGTGGGGGAGCCTCGCTCCCTCTTACAAGTGCTACTGTTCCCCACCCCAACCATGCTGGCTCCAAGGTGCCCTGAAGATGGATCACTCACACTGGGGCTACATAATTTCCAGGGAATGTCCCAAATTTCTGGGTTCTTCGGGAGACACCTGAAAGAGAAAAGAAAGAACATTCCATGAAGCCCTGCTTCATACTAAGGGGCAAGGTTGTCTCCTCCTGCCGGCAGTATCCAGAATTGCATGTGGAGTCCTCTTCCCAGGAAGGAGAGGGTACTTCATTTCCTGTCTTCATTCCTGCCCCCTAGTGGCAGAAACTTAGATAGGCAGAGTTGCATTCACAAATTGCATAATCAACATTTCGGTAGCAATCAACACCTGCATACTCCATACACTGGACTGAATAACTAACTCCACCCTTCTCCACAAAAGCCACGAAGCAAGAGGATGAATCACAGAATTACATAGGGAGGAGCCTTCATTTCAGAGATGGTTGGGTAAGGTCCAAGACAAGGAAAGCCCAGTCTACGGCTGGAACCACGGGGCTGCTTATGGGTGCAGTGGAGGCTGCAATTCAAGCTTCTGATCTGCTGTGACCCTCCCAAGGAGGCCTGAGTTATAGGGCAAAGGATAGAGAATGCTAGGATTGCAGGAGAATGAAATGAAATCCTGGCTGGGAAGGTGGCTCAGTGGTAGAGTGCTTGCCTTGCATGCATGAGGCCCTGGGTTCGATTCCTCAGCACCACATAAGCAAAAAGAAAAAAGCCGGAAGTGCGCTGTGGCTCAAGTGGTAGAGCGCTAGCCTTGAGCTGAAGAGCTGAGGGACAGCACCCAGGCCCAGAGTTCAGGCCCCACGACCGGACCCAAAAAAAAAAAAAAGAAATGAAATCCTGACCTTGCCCAGGGCCTTCCTCCGGAGCTGCCATTCTGACTTCTTGCCCACCCACAGATGCTCATGTTCCTCCTGAGAGAACCTATCTTCCCCATCATCTCCCCACCCCAAGTGTTCCCCTGACCTTCCATGCCCAGCCCCATCACCACCACCCCCAGGAGCCTTTCCCTGACCCCGCACCTCCCAAACCCAACAACCACTAGCCACATGGGTGATTAACATTTGAAATGTGGGCCCCAATGCCTGCTTGTTGGGTAGTAGGGCTTCTGGCTGTTCAAGTCCCTCTTGGCTTATCTTTGAAGCTCAGGGCTGGTCAGGGCCTGCCTACTCAGAAGACAGGGTTGTGGTGCAAAACCTGGTGGCTGGGTCACCTAGAAACCAGCCTAAGGTTTCCTATATTAGTCTTTTGCCTGCACTGCATGGGCTTGTGCTAAAGTCTTCCTCTGCTCCTCTTGCAGGCTGGAGGCATGGCTGGTAAGGCAGACACAGTGTGAGGCGGGGCCTTTTCCACCTGGGTCTTTTGTCCCAGGAGGCAGGAAGGAGCAAAGTTCTAGGGGTCAGGAACTCTGCCTGAGTCCATGACTCCATCTATGATGCTGGACTTGGCCAGTGTCCACAGGCCACGCCCCTCTCTTCAGGGTATGAAGGAAAGGTGACTAAAAGACAAGCTGGCTTCAGAACTGTACCCAGCGCCCGGCCTGCCCGGTAGTCAGGTCAGAGGCTGGTGGACAGTAGTCAGGCCATGTTGAGCAGCAACCCCTCACCCCCCCATTCCCAGGCCCTCATACCCACAAACCAGCCATCGTCACACTGTTGCATGACGTCTACCCGGTCCCCCTCACGCAGCTCCAGCTCGTCCTCATTCTGGGGCCTGTACTGGTACATGGCCCGGTACCTGTGGGAGGAGACACCGTGGGAGCCGGACACCTCAGCCCTCTCCCAGGCCTTGGAAGAAATGCCACATCCTGTGCCTTGTCCCATGCCCCACGCTGCCCCATGCCCTCCTCCCCGGGACCCCGGACTGCCCAGGCTTTGCAGAGACAAGCGGCTCCTGATGGGCCTTCCCGACCTCTAGGTGCTTTAGGATGGGCTCCCAGAGGTGCACTCAGCTCTGCGACACCCCAACCCCAACCAAGCCCCCTCAATGTACTCACGGGGTCCAGTGTATCTGCGAGGTGCTGGAAGAGGAGACCCCCAGATCTAGAGGCCGGCTGGGGCTTCGAGGGCGGGACTGGGCTGCCCCAGAAGGGCCAACACTCTGGGGGGGGTCACAGGGAGGAGGCCGTGAGGGGGGACAAGTGAACAGCCATCTTACCGGCCAGCCCTCCTACACACTCCCAGGGTGTCCCCCAGACCCAGGAGGAGCCCCTGTTGAGGGGGCTGGGGCAGGATGGGCACACTGGGGTTTTACACAGCCCCCCACGAGTCTGCCCTGGGGGCAGCTGGGATGAACCCCAGGACGGGGTGGGGGGGCGCCTCACCTGTGTCTGGGGTCTGGGCTCCGCCGCAGGGTAGGCGAAGCCGCTGCGGCGGGGGGAGGTCCGGCCCCCCCAGTCGGTGGGGTCTGCGGG